TTCACCACCACGTTCACCACCACGTTCACCACCACGTTCACCACCACCATCATCACCATCACCATCACCAGCACCATCACCATCTTCAAGACCGTCAGCATCATCACCACCACCATCATCACCACCATCAACATTATCTCTAGACCTTAGATTTTTTGACACACTGTTTGGGTTTTCTTGCCGGGATAGTTTTTCTTTCTGGAGTTTGGGAGTGTGTGACCGTTTTGCCATGCCCAACCGTCACCCCGAAAAAGGAGGGTGACTTGGGGGTGTGGACACCCCGATTAGTGGGTCCTGGTGTGACGTGACTATATAATCAAAAGTGTCGCTCTAGTGAGTGGTGTGGTTTGCAGTCACCTCAAAACTTGTAAGAACTGGCAGGCCAGAGGACATTTTGCAAACCCTGAGACCTTAAGAGACAATCAGTGCACAAAAAATACACCTGTACTTCACCTGCGTTGAACACAAAGGATGTTTTTTCTGTTCTTCAGTTCGCTCAGCTCGAGGTAACAACGATGACGGGTAGCGAGCCAAAGGAGCCTCCGCCGGCTCTTGGAACGTAGAACTTGGCGTGGGCGTTTTCAGCTTGGACTCGTTTCGATTGATTTTCTCAACAGTGGAAACTCAGTGCACTCGTTTGGATTGATTTTTTCCGCGGTTCCAGCTGACACACGACACTCAGCCAAGCATGCAGCTGAAGACCGTTGACCAAACGTGCACGACTTGATGTGGTCGAACCAGCGAAGAGGCCAAGGAGGAAAAACGTTTGACCGCCACATCCATGAGCAATGAGTGACGGTCAAAGCTTTCAGTTTTTTGCATGCTTTTAAGCCGTGCACCGCATTTGAGGATTGTCTTCTGGTTTGCCTCCAGTTCAATTTTGGAACTGTTGCTGTAGGGGAGTGCTATGTTTGTTTGGCACCCCAACTGTGACAAGGCGGACCATCTCAAGCATTTGTTTAGTGGCGATGACTCCCCTGCTGGCCACGACTGGAACTCATGCATTGGATCCTTTTCTCATGTCTCCCTGTCTTGCTCTTTGATGCTCAATGAACCTGGTTCATGGAGGGCGCAAGTCAATTAGCATGACGTCATGAGCAACGGACATTGGCCACTGGGACCTACACTGTGATCAAAGGGTCATGACACTTGGTGTCTAACTAGCTCATCACGTTTGCATGTAAGAAAGCCTCCGAATCCATCATCATGCCGCCTGCACCAATGCAGCAGGCTATTCCGGTGATGTTCATGCAGCCGAGTGGGGAGGGGCCAAGTGCCCCCAGCATGCCAGGACCTGGCATGCAACCAATCTTTGCTCCCAGACCGATGGGCGGTAAAGGTGGCACCATGCTGGTGGTGGGAATGAATGGAATGAATGGCATGAACGGAAGGAATGGCATGAATGGGTGTCTGAATGGACCGGGAGGTGGTCCCAAAGAGGGCCTAGAAAGTGGGCCAGGTGGACCAGGGAAAGGTGGCAAGGGAGCTGTTGCAGGTGTCCCGGTGAATGGTTTTGGGCCTGGCATGAATGGATGCCATGGGCCTTTCCCCTTGAACCAAGAGGGCGCGCAGCAGAACATGGCCTTCATGATCGTCCCTGAAAGCCACATTGAAGAGTACAAGAACAAGGGCGCAGTCCCTTTGGCCCAGGGCACAGCTGAAGAGATGCTCCCGAACGGTGTGAATCTGAACATGTCGCAAGGGCCACTGGTGTTCGGAAAGGGTGGCATGAAGGGTCAGCCTGGCTGCATGGGCGGTGGCTTTGGCTGGGGGTCCGGCAAAGGGTCCTCGTACCGAAGATTCTCTGACCGAGAAGACCGGCGGGGGTTTTCTCCTGGTCCGCGGGAAAGGGGGCCCTTTGGCAAGGGGAAGGGAGATGGCAAGGGGGGCTTTGGGAAGGATGGGAAGGGTGATGGCAAGGGAGGCTTCAGCAATGGGAAGGGAGATGGCAAGGGAGGCTTCAGCAATGGGAAGGGAGATGGCAAGGGAGGCTTCGGCAAGGATGGGAAGGGAGATGGGAAGGGTTTTGGGAAGCACAACAGCTTTGGAATGCCCCGGCACCCTTTGAAAATCGGTGGGCAGTTCCAACAGTCTGCCCAGTGGCAGCAACCTTTGCCAGACGGGAGTGTTGCCACAGTGTACCTGATCGCTGATCAGGATAACCTCCAGCAAGCAGCAAGAAGGTTGAACTTCGTGGGACATGGTGCCATCATTGTCATGGATTGTCATGGATGGAATCTGAAAGCGGCCGCCGGAAAGCTTTGTTTGTTGAGCATTGCTTTCATGGATGGCACTCCACAGCTCTTCCTGATTGACGTGCTACAATTGGGTGAGCAAGTTTGTACCCTCATGCCCTTTTTCACCAATCCAAATGCGTCCAAGTTCACGGCCGACGCCTCCACCCACGCTACGGTGCTGGCCCACAAGTTCGGAATCAACTTGGCGGGGGTGATCGATGCGCAGTGGGCCTATGAAACGCTTCAGAAGAAAACGATGGTGAGGCCTCTTGAGGTGCTTGACTGGTGTGGCCTAGCTCCACCAGACTTCAAGCAAGAGACTCTGCAATTGGAAGGAACTCCTGAGGTGTGGGGCCAAAGACCTCTGCCACAACGGACCTTGACCCATGCCGCGCAAGGCATTGGCCTACTCCAGGCGGCGGCTGCGGTGGTTTGGAAGCGCCTTGCAGTGGCCTTTGGCAAGGATGTGTTCGAGAAGGTGGGGCGGAAGAGCCGCATCCGCGAAGACGAAGACGACGGAATGACGACGGGTGTTGGGGTGTTCCTCCATCCACGAAGCGAAGTCATGTTGCCCTGGGCGGTCGCCCATTCCACCTCCGGTCCTCGAGACCTGGCGTTCGCACCCGAGACCGTTGCGCCTCTCCAGGTGTCCAGTGCGTCTCGCCAGCGCGCCGAGATGGCGGCCGCCGCCGGATGGGCCTGCCGCCACGCGGGGCTCTTCACCGCGGAGCAGGCGCACGGTGGGTGGAACGGTCGGGTGGGCCCAAATGCAGATGTGTCCGGCGGCCACATGTTGAGGCCTTCCACTAGCTAACTCTGACATGTCTCTGAGGATCACAATGTGAACGATGTAAGACCAGCTAAGACCAGCTGCAGAACCAGCACTAGCAACTAATCCAACTAACAAAAGCTGCATGTTTCCTGCACCCAACATCCAACAGGTATCAGTCTACAAGGTCTGCGCAAACGTCGTTGGGTGTGCACCGAAAAACACCGCCCTGGGCGGTGTTGGGGTGGTGTTGGGTTATGACAAAAGGCAACAAGAAACTGCCGGCTGCATCGAATCATGCACGTTCTTAGCACTCGGCCGACGGCCGTACGTGTCACGTACGGTAAATCGTGATAGGTTCCCATGATGCCCCAGGTGTTTTTGGTGGCGGAACACTTGCTCTTGGAGTTGAGGTCGCTTGATTTCGTCGCAAGTTAGTTGTGATGGTTCAGTCACAAACAGGTCTAAATGGTCGTATAGATGGTACTTCAGGAATCCTGATGATGTTATGAAGTGTTCTTTCTTCGCAATCCCGCCATTTTCCGTTGCACCCCATCTCTCAGCTATTCCACCACCCGTGTGGACCGTGGGACGACTTTCACGCTTCACCTTCAGCGTCGCTTCCGGCGTTGGGCGTTGGGAGGACTATGAGACGCCCGACAAGGACTCTGAGATGGAGGATTGGCTGGCGAAGCGCTTCGGCAAGGAACCCTCGAGCACCTCCGCCGCCCTCCGAGCACGCTCTGCTGAGCGTCCCAAGCTGCCCGAGACTGCGTTTCGAAGCTTGGTGGGTGGGTGGATCATTTTTCTCGGGGATGGGAAACAAAACCTGGTAGGCGAAGAAAACGCAGCGCTTCCTTCCGAAGTGAAACGAAGGGAAGAACTTAAGTTTCGGCTTGGGATGGCAATGTGACGTGGTTCTAGCTTGGACATTGTCGCTCCACGAGGCTGCATGGGTGGTTTTTAGATCCCAAATAGAGGTCACTCAGGTTCTAGGTCCATACTTGGCGTTGCCAAGAATCACGACTGCCAAGGTGACGTTGGGACGTCGCCTCGCCTACACTAGCTTTCTCATTGAGCGAAGCAAGTCAACGCAGTTTTTCTTTCTATCAATAAAAAATAAATCATGTGTCGAACGCAAATAAAGCCCGATTAAGGCGGGGACGGTTTTGGACCGTCTGATTATTGCAAGCTCCCTGGTGCCCACAGGCATGTGGCTGGGTGTTTCCCTGGTGCCCCTAAAAAGCATCCTTGGACCCCTCTTTCGACCCTCTTGAAGGAACCCCGACCTGATCCCCCCGAAAAAAGGACCACCGGCCACAGCCACGCCGCTTCCAACCCTCGCAATACCCGCCCGCACGAGCACTTGTCCGTGGTCCTCTCGCCCCTTGGACCTTGGCCGTTCTTCCTTCTCTTCTCTTCGAGGAGAGGGAGACAGTCCGCGTACCGCTGCCTGGCGAGCGCGCTTGGCCGAGATGAATCCTCCCCGCATCATTCCGTCCCGGCAGCGCTCCGCCAGTCCCACCCTGCACTCGTGGCTCGAGCGGCGAGAGACCGCGCGCGCCGAGAAGAGGAAGGAGGGCGCTGCGCATCGTGCTTCCAGCTTACCCTCACGCAGAAGGGAAAGGGATCAGGACGGGGGGCCAGGGGGAGTTGGGTCGTGGATGAGCTCTTTGGTTGATCGTGAAAACAGCAGCTGGATGGTCGAGTCATCCGGATGGATTGGAAAGAAGTTGGGGGTGTCCCATTACTTGATTACTTGTAACAGTCGGTAAACAAGAGTCCTTTTTTCACAAGTATATCGAGATGTCGACCTGTAACCCAACCATCATATCATGATCCACTGTTCTCAGGGAAGGATATTCGATCAAATAGAATCACGGACCATCCACCTGGACCCTCCAACAGGTGCTTCCTGGTGACAGGTGCCCAGAAACCACCTGTTAGGCTTCTAAAACCACCGGACTTGGAAGGTCCTGGCAGACTGAACTCTTGAGGACGAGGAAGACTTCGTCCCTCGAGACCTTCAGCCCTTGAATTTTGCCGCTGCCTCAGCTTCGGTTAAGCATGCGCCGTCGGCGTTTGCACGTCTCAAGAAAAAAAGCATGTCCACGTTCCAAGGACCGCCTGGAGAGAAAGAAATGGAATGAGCTTGTAGAGGAAGATGGTGCAAAGGAAGAAAAGGAGGAAGAAAAGGAAGATGAAAGTGATGGTGACTAGCAAGTCTATTGCGCCTCTTGCCAATCACCGGCCCGGGTTTTTGGGCTCTGGGATCCTGAACATCAAGAGGATCAAACGATTCTCCATGATCGATCCAGTCAGCCTCAAACAGAAGAGTGACTTGGTATGTAGACCACATGGGGAGACCACCTGGCCCAATAGGTAGACTGGTATATTTCCTCATTTTTTTTCCATTTTTGGATGGTTTTCGAATGGAGGAGACTGGTTCCTGATGTCTGCATCAAAGATGCGTGAGGGCGTGAGGACGTGACCGGTGAGCGTGAAGGAAACAGCGGCTGCAGTAGGTGGTTTTCGCAGGCCAGTTGAAGGTTTTCGCATGCAAGGTGTGCCGAATGAGGCGGATTTCAGCATGAAGTAGTGAGACACTTGCAGCATATGCTTGCTTGCGATTGAATTGTCGAAAAGCATCTCAAGCCGTCGCAGTTGCCACGCTTCGACGTGCTTCCCCATCGGCTTTGCTCGATTTCGTGGGACGGCTCCGCTTCGGCCGGCCACGACGGGCCGTCTCCGCCAGCAGCTCATTGGCATTTCAAATAGGAAAGAGACCGTGATTCGATCCATCTTCAAACCAGCCAGACAGGTTTCATGCCTCTTTAGCGATGTGCCGCGGCCCATCTCTAAGAGGTGGAGGAGTGCAAGAAGCCCCCCCCCCGGTCTTTTGTGGCCGCCCGACAAGACCAGCAGACAGCAGACGCAGACGCAGAACGACCTAAGACACTTTTGAAGAGCAAATGCTCGATGTCGGGGTAGATTTGCTTGGCAATGGACAGCTCTTGAAAAAGGCTCCTCCTCGTTGGGGGGTGGTGTGAGCACCTGGTCGTTCTGTTCATGTCGAGCGGCCAAAACTCCTGGTGTGGTCAGGAATGCAGGGCAGTTCCACAACGTGGGTCATGGCACCAGGATACCTTGGTTGACCTACTTGGAAGGTCCTTCGGTCTTGCACGATAAAACGGGCTCCAGCTCTGTTGTTCTTAGCCGTCCCCACAGGGAAAGTCACGTGGGAAACGCTGCCTCCGGGTCGGGTCGATGTGAACCTCCACATCGTTTAAAAGTGGAACCTCCACCAGCACCGACTGAAACCAGGTCACCAATTGAAACCGACTTCAGGGCCCTATGGAAAACCCTCCATGCAACGGAGACTTGTTGGGTTCGGTGCTGGCAGTTCCAGATCACGCTGACGTTGAGAAACGCTTCTTGCCAGGGCTGAGAAACCCAAGTGGGGGACCTTCTTCGGCACTGTACGGTATCGCATGCGTTTCTTTACAGAGGGGTGATTCTCGGCCAAGAGGTGATACCCACGTGGTGGCGATGGATTTCCAAGCCGCGTCCTAAACCTCCAGAGAACCGTTTGTGGATTCTGCCCCTGGAAGTCGGACGCCTTTTCGGATCAAGTCGGACGCCTTTTGGACCGTTTGGCTGCCCTGGGATTTCCCATCCAATTCCAACCCTCCCTTTCTGCGTCGGACGCCTCCTCTTTCACGCAAGCCCCGGCAGGTCCTGAGAGAAGGACATGGAGAGGTGCCGAAGGTGGGTGAACGTGTCCGGGAGCCCCAAGGATTCGAGTTTTCGACGTAAGACCACTGCGACGGAAGGTCAGGGGGGGTGGAAGGTCACCGGAAGCGACTTCGGCTGGGAAGGGAACAGACCTTTGTGAGGTACTTGTATCTGAAGCACCAAACCCATTGGGGACGCCAAGGACAACTCCCTAACCCGTGAGCGCCGGGCCCATCCATCTACCCAGGTGAAGGTCCATTATGTCTGCCGCGCCTGCGACGAGCTCCTGGACGACTCCCGAGGCACCAGCTGGGCTCTGGCTGCCGTTGGGCGATATTTTTTTCGGAGCGGAAGCAGCTCAGAAGGAGGGGCAACTCTGAGGATTTGAAGTTGCCTCCCCCCCACTTCTCCGAACACTCACCTTTAGAAGCAGGAGAAGCAGGAGACTGGCGCCAACCTCACACCTTGGGCCAACTCGTCGTCTCTTTGGCCTCCACCCCTCTCCACCCGGGCGCGGCGTTCTCGGCGTGGGTCCCGTGGTTCGACGGCCACGGCCGGGGTTCGAGGCCGTGGAGAGCCCATGTGCTTTGCTCTTGGCCAAGGCCGAGAGCTGACACGGACGCGACGCGCCATCAGCGCGGGCACCGTCACGGACGGATGAGTGGCGCCATTTCTGAGTGGCACCGTCACGAGGAGTGTCAGAGTGTCACGTGGGCGGTCACACACGACGTGGGCCATGCAAAAACCCACCCATAGGAATAGGTTTTACCATGGTTTTACCATCCAAATGGGAAGGTTTTTGCTGTAATCCAGAGTCTGACAGATTGCCTATCGCTCACGGTCTTCTGCCGTGTAGCGGTCACACACGTGTCGGGAGACCGGCGCGTCTGGCACCGTGTCGTGGTCGGACGGACCTCATGACGCACGCCCCCCAGCCGAACCGAAGGTCACACACCCGACCGTCCGGTGGGGTGCTTTGATGGCCCAGGAGTGGCAGAAGGGTCGCATCACCCGCATCACCGTAGGAAAACCCACTGGGTCGCCACATTATCGTTCAGCAGCACAGACGAGCCCGAGCTTCAAGCAAGCCGTCCTGAGCGCTTAGCTCGCCGGAGCGGCCCAGCCACTTGTTGCCCAACAGGTGAGGTGATTGCAGCTTGGGAGTCGGGAGCCTCAGTCGCACATTCGGTACCACGAGACAAGTCGACGAGTCGGCCTCTGTCCATCTCAGGCCAGTGAAAATGACAACTGAAGTGTCGAATCCCAATGAACTGGAGGTATGTCAGTGAGTCTTTTTGAAACCAAGCGCGTTGTGTATGCTTGATCAGACTTGGCCCCCCACAACGCGCGAGCTGAGCTCTGCCGTGATTCTGCCACATTCCCTTCACACCACGGGGCACCCGCGGCTCACCATGATGGGATGATGAAAGCTGAGGGTGCCGAGTCCATGAGCCACGTTGAGGTCTGCCCTTCCATCCATGAGATGTGGGGAACTGGCCACACTGCTGGCAGGGTGGCCCAGAGGGCGGAGGGGGTGGAAGTTCACCCACTTGCCGTGACTTGCCCCTCCAAATGACAACCCCCTTTTTTGGGTGGATGAGCTACCCCCCAAGCGGAGTTGGGTGGGGTCAAATAAGAACTTCATGGACTGTCCTGCCACCCACCCAGTGCCAATGCTGTGGGAATCCTCGAGACTCGAGACCGGACGTGTGGACTGACGTCGCCGCGACGCTGGGCGTCTCCTGCTGGATCAGAGTCTGCACAGCGAAGATATCATGTGCAAAGCCTCCAAGTTGGAAGGAACTTCTTGGGCTTTTCAATCCAAGGGTCCATTGCTGTCTAACATCGAATGACCAAAAACGCCCATTCTTTCTGGCAGGTACACCCCGAAATGGCCTATGGGGAAGCTGAAATTGCAAACAGCCAGGATCTCAAGCAGGAACCGGGCAGAACAGTGCCACATGGATTTTGTTTCCACCAATATGAACGCTGGCATCACTGGCCGGTCATCACTGGCTGTACAGAATCTTTTCCTTTGTGCACGAAAACAATGATCAGAATCAGGATTTTCTACTACTAGAGGATGGATAAGGGGTGCTTGCTTGTGTGGCGGTTCTCACGGGGATGATTTCTGCCAGTTCCTCCCAATCTCGCCCAGTTCCACATGGGAGCTCACTACACTATGAGTATGTGGCTCAGTTTGGGCAGCATGATGGACCAATTGTCAGAAGCCGCCGGGTAGCGGTAGCTGAGACCCCAATGATTGGACGTGGGATGAATATGAATCTGTATGAATCTGTTGCTGATGACAGGTGAGCAACATCAACTTTGCTTTCAGAGTGACTTTACTCCCCACTTATTGTACCCCCTATCAATCAGCGGTGCAAGGAAGAAACAACACACGGAAAGGCACGACATGAGGCTGAGCAGAAGTCACGTTAATTGTTAATGGAAGCAATATGAATACAGTAGCGACCTTCGGCTTTCAAAACCGCTAAAAATATCCGCTACAGCAAAGCGAGTTGATTGGATGCTCTTGCACCTCGCACTTGTTGGCAAACTCTCACCCACCACACCTGTCTTTTTTTTCATCCTCCTCAATAGACCCCACATGCCTGAGGGTCACGATCCCCCCATTCCAACATCTCGGAAGAGAGAGAGAGAGAGAGAGAGATCCGCCCGATTCCGTGATGCCTTTTCGAACCAAAAGAACCGGTTCGATCTCCGTGCTTTCTCGTCTCACGGTCGGAACGATCAGGTTGGAGCTCTTGGAGATTTCCCCGCAGGTCTCCCTCGCGAAAGAGGACCTGTCCCCAGAGGCGGGGGCGATTGATGTTACTCCGAGTCGCTGACATGGTTTTCTGGGCCTTACTGCAGCCGTATACTTGCCCCTTTTTCGGAACATCCTTTTCCTTTTCATTTAGAGGCACAATGCTTTTGGATGCTTTTGGTCGACTTCAATATGAGGGTGATCGTCTATATCGTTTGAGACAAGGATCGTTTCTGTGTACAGTCATGGTCTGCCTAGATCTGATCGATGGTCTGATCGATCTGTGGGAATCGATGGGTTTCTAGAAGTCGTGGCCCACCATGGTTTGAATCGCCAGGTCATCCCGAACCACCATTGGGCTTACTAAAGTAAAGGTTTCACACGACAAAAACCAGATCAACCATTTTAAAATGGTCGACTTTGACTTCCAGGTCTAGAGATATCTCAATATTTTGGTCAACCTTGACCATGTGTTTGTCTCGGACTTGAATGCAACTTCTACAGAAATCAGGGCCAGCGTGCCCAAACCGAAGCTCCAACGACTCCCGGCGATGTGAACGGGCCCTTCCAACAAAGGTGCACCCAATGACCCACCTCTGGTACCAACCTCTGGGAGAGTCGCACCACGTCGGAACCGGATGGATCGGGTCAGGAGCGACTTCTGGGAGCCAGCAAGGCCAAAGAGGAGGGCAACCTTCGCTTTAAGGCGCCCTCGGGCGAAATCGGTCCATGGCGACCTCGGGCGATGGGCGAGGCGAAATCGGTCCAGGTGCAAGTCCAAGGACCCTTACGACAGGGGGTCTTGCAGCAGCTTTTGGCCTACTTTTGGAGAAGGACGAGACGAAGGTGTAGTTTAGTAGATAGAAACTTGTATGATGATATGCAGTTTTATCACTTCATTTAAGAGTTATCTTTCACGATCTTTCGCGATCTTCGCTTCTCCGTGTGAGGTTGGCCACTTCAAAGACGCCAGCGGTGCGTACCTGGAGGCCTTATACCTTCTGGGCCACGAGGCCCGGGCGGGCCCACGCCATGTCGAGCTTGGTCCCAGCTGGGACGACGGGTCCGCATCGCTCTGGAGCGTCTTTCGGAAGGGGGAGGCCACGGAGATCGGCTTGGGACAGGCACTTTCTGGGCCCCTGCTGGGCCCAGAAACGCGACCGCGCACGGCCGTTCCGTGTGGGGTTGCCTCTCTTCCCTTAAAGTGCAGTCGAAAAAGGTCCAGTCAGTGACGGTCATCTATGGAGTTTTCCAATCTGAACCAGACATCTGCTGGCCTTCCTCCCCACCGATGCCAGTGCATCCTCAGCAGTGCGATTTTGGGCCGGCGTCCGACCGCAGGCGTCCTCCGACTCACGTGCCGAAGAGGGGCTTTGGTCGGACGTGCTGCGCGCCGCCGAGCGGCGGAGCCTGGTCACTTGGCGGAGATTGGTCAGACAACTGGGAGGGGATGCACGTGGACGTCGTTCTTTCTTTTTTGCATTCTTATTTATTTTGTTTTTTTTCCGCACGCAAGGGGGGGGTTGGCTGGTTCAGGGCTCGGTGTGAAGGTAATTTGAAAGGGTGGGATCTCTGCATTGGGAACCGGGAACAGCTTCAAGACACGCGTGGGATCTGTAGGAAGGACGGATGGGATGGATGGGATGGAAGGGATGGAAGGGATGGAAGGATGTGCGGCGTATGGGTGCCTTGTGGAATGGTTTGGGAGCTGAGAATCATTACTTCGGGGCAAAGAAAGACTTCGGGCCCAGACCCTCTACGGATTTATGCTAGACTCTGTGCCTCAAAGTGACGAGGGTAATGCAGAAACATTGGAAGAAGGACTGCGGTAGGACTGGTCCGCATGCCTGGAAAGTGGACGATTTGCGGTGCTCCGTCAAACTTAACCTCTTCATTTGGAAGACGGGGATCTTTCCCAGCACTTGCGTTCGAAGCCACGTTCGTTTTGGTTTGACCGGGGTGCCTATTTGGTCCCAGGCCCTCGCTTGCCAGCTGAATCTTTGCCAATCCTTGCTCGGGACGCCTGGTCGCTCCTGGGAAAGAGGAAGACGACAGGCAATCTGGTTGAGATGCAGCTGGCTTTGGATTCACCCAGAGGTGTGTATTGGAAAGAGAGACCCTCTTGCAGTCTGGGCCTGGGTGTGTTTCGATGCGGTCATCCATGGATCTCAGTGTCAAGGCACTCAAACTCCGTTGATTTTGGGTGACTGGTCATGGAGTCGGCATAGGTCGGTCCAGGGCCTCACTCCGGAGTCCCCGTCCGACAGCGGACCTGGGGTCTCCCCCACCGAATCCGACTCTGCGACGCCGCGACCAAAGCGTTCTTCGTTCCATGTCCGGCGTGGGTTTTTAGACCCATTTGTATAGTGAGTGGATGTGACGGGGGCAGGGGCGACAACCTCCATGAAGCATTTGAAGCTTCCTCTTAGCATACTACGGATAGGGTAGACCTCGGGAGTTCTATGCCCCTCTTAAGCACTGTTGCTTTCTTTAAAATCTTGTTTTTCACCAGGCAGTGTGGTAACCGTTAGGGGTTCTTGGGGTTCTGTGATACACTCTTCAACGATCCTCTTTTCGGGGGATCCGGGATCCTGTCGACCTTGTTTTCCTTCAGGTTGAAGTTGGAGGAGTATCAGGCCGCGATGCTTGGGTCTCAGTCCGACGCGCGTGGTGGAACCGTTTTTTTTCAGCGGCGATTGTCGGAGGCCGTGGCCGGTTCGGGCCTTGGGGGCCTTGGAGATCTGGTCAAGATGAGGGATGTTTTCAATGATGAAGGGAGTCAATCTGTTCGAAAAACGTCAATGACTTGAAGGATCGCAAGGCGGTTTTGATATGTTTTTTTTTTTCCCTCTATATAACCTCTTGTTTTGCTCGCTTTGGGAGCCGGAATGCGAGTGATAGCCCTGGGAAGCCGCTGGACCATTGATTTCATAGCCTGAACATATCGAACAACTCGTGTTTTATGTATTTTACACGGCAAACACTAGGTCAACCGCACAGTGGTTTTCAACTCGACTGAGGGTCGAACCTATCAGCCCGACGGATTTTCGGTGGCCAGGCAATACGCCGATGCTGCACTCGAACTTCATGCTGGACATTCGAAGGTTGGCGTCGACCATGCGCTTTGCGTGTGCAGCGATAGGTCTGATAGGTCTGATAGGTTCTTGGGTCTGTTTTGCCCTATGTATTGCTAGCTCTGTTTTGTGACTGTCTGACATCAGATCTGACCTTTTCAGTGCTCAATGGCACATGGAATTGTCGGGATATTGCCTGCAGGTCAGAAGACCCCCCCAAAAAACAACATGAAGGCTCATAGCGTTAAGAGCTCAGAGGCGTGCTCCCAATCCTTTCTGGACTGTTCGAACCTTGCTCTTCGATCAAACGACTTTTTCCAGCTCACATGTCACACTGATCTGCTCTGCACTCTGCTGTAGCTTGGAGCCAGAGGTTTGGGATGGGTGGGGATCGTACTCCTGAGAGCTTTTGGATGCGTAATTAGCTTGGAGCCAGCCAAAAAGGTCTGTGCTGGGGCAGCTGTTCAACAGCTTGGTTCTTCGGCTCCTTCGCTCTGCCGGCGCTCTACCGGCGTGCGTTCGGAGGCGCTCTACCGGCGGGGCTTGGCCGCGATGGGCCTGGGACACTGGGCTTCGGCCAAAGCGGACCTGTTGGCCGCGGCGAAGAAAGAGCTCAGGCCGGAGGGTTTCGGGAGCAACGCGCTCTGCGCGCGGGCGGACGCGCTTTTGGCAAGGTAATCCAAGGGATCAAGGAGCCTTCGTCCTTTTCGGGTGTGTGATGGGAATGGGCTGCTTCAGATGTTCTTGGTTGGGGCTTTTGGATCCATTTCTTTCTATTTCCTTCACTTGGAGGATGGGGATCTTGGGAGCCCTTAGGGCCTAAGCAATGAAGACTCTGTGGATGGTCCGGGATGTCCCCTTCAAGGATCCCTGAGTGATCGGAAGATCGCGGTGTGCGAGGAACGAATTCAACGGGGGTCATGACTGCTCACCCCTCAATGACATAGAAGAGTTTCCTCAACGGTGCCGGCGTCTTCGGCACGCGTTCCGAGGTGCTGATGTGAGCGGTCTTCTAGGGACCCAAAGCACGTGGCTTTTGACCATCGTGGTACGCAAAGAACCAAGCTCCCGACCCAAATCAGTCAGCTCGTGGCACGGTGGGAATAGACCTATACTTAGAGACCAATAGAGTAAACGTAGGTCTATAGGTCTGATATCACGGTTTGGACCAAGCGCAATAGTCTCTGACCATGCCGGGTCTCAACTCCGAGCCTCTCCCCTGACGTCCGTGCTGTCCACGGCATGGGATTTCCAGGAGCGGTGAGATTCGGCGAAGTCTGGAAGAGTTCAGAGCTGAGCTTGGAAGTGGGTGGATTCTGGAAGGAGATGGGAAAACCTTACGACTATATATATATATAGGACTCTCTCTCTCTCTATATATATATATACACTCACATATTTTATATTTTACTATTATTGCATGATACAATCATACAGATATATATATATATATCGCATATACTACAGTAAATATTCTTACCAGCAGCCTCTAACAGGTCTCTTGAAGCTGGAGATTTAAAGGTGGCATGTGGTGACTTGTTTTCGGCATCGAAGTAGTCACCAGGAAACAGCTGTTGGAGGATTCAGGTATCATTTTTTGAGCCATTAAAGACCAAAACACGCTTGGGCGATCAGAATGCTGAAATATGATCCCTCGCAGCCTCGCATGAGGCTCCGCACTGAGTGAGGTGCCACATGAAGTAGGAACATCAGTTTCGGAGAGCTCGGCATTTGGAGAGCTCAGTGAGAATCCCTCAAGGCATCTGTGTACGATGTTGTAGAAGTGGCACAAGCGGGATCACAAACAAAAACATCAATGAATAACCTCTCTGAACAGAAGCGTCTTGGGTCGTCCGGTATTTCGTCACTTTCCAAGAACCAAAGCCGAGCCCCCCCAAAGCGGGCAAGCCTATGTCCCATCGCGTTGGGGGAATGCGCTCGTTTTCCTTCGCCGCAGGTGTCAAGAGCGCATGGCCCGCGAGAAGAGCGACGCCCGAGATGTACGGATCCCCAAACATCTCTGGGTGTGCCCCACAACGAAAGGCTTCGGGTCAACTCACATCTCACGGCTGTTTTTGAGAAAGGCCGTATTACGTTCCCATCATCCAGGCACTTATTCAAGCTTGGCTAGTCATTCATGATGACCAGATATATTGGATCTCCCATTTGTGTCCCATTTCCAGGGAGGCTATGTGAATTTCTTCACGAATCGTCACGAAGCGACGACAACACTTCACTCAGTTGCTTTTTTCAAAAGCAATCTACATACCTGGTAACCTGGGATGTACCTAGGGCCTGTTCCATTACCTGCAACAGTCGGTAAAGAGTTCTCTATTGTTGGGGTAAAAGACACTGGCCGCAGTCTCTGGCTGTGCCGCTGTCCTTCCTGCTGTCCTTCCTGCTGTCCTTCCTGCTGTCCTCCTGGTGTCCTGCTGTCCTCTGGCCGCCCCTCCTGCCCTCCTCGTGCCATGAGAGCTGTGGCCACGCTGAGTGGGCTTTCTTTTCCGCACGCATTGGCCCCGGGTCTTGTCCAGGCCTTGTCCGCTGCGCTGCTGTGGGCCCTGCGTTGTGCTTGTCCAGGCTGCTTGTCCGTGTTGTCGGCCCTTTTAACACCGCCTTGTCCAGGCCTTGTCCCCTGCTTGGCCACGCCACTTTCCCCTTCCCCGCCGCCTTGTCTGGGTATGCTATGAATGCAACAGTGGTGTAGAGAGTCAAATAGAATCATTTGCGGGTTTTCTCAGGACATATATATATATATATACCAGGACCTTCCAACAGGTGGTTTTAGAAGCCTAACAGGTGGTTTCTGGGCACCTGTTGTCACCAGGAAGCACCTGTTGGAGGGTCCAGGTATATATAAATATGTTACTGTTATCCCTTCGTTTTTGGCACATGCGACCCGGCAAGCGGGAATTCCTTTCCATCAATGCCATTCTCAAACAACTGGAGCCCGGAAGCGGAGTATTACACACATGACCACCAACATTGGAATTCAAGGAGTTGACGCAAAACACTTTGCTTAAGCTGTTTGGGGTCTATGCCTGAATAATTTAGAGAAAGGCCTGCAACTGGACCATCATCGTTTACTGTTGCTGGTAAAGCATTGCAGCCGCTGTGGGGGTCCCACTTTTCCACCCGCAGACGAAGACACATTACGAAGACACATTCAAGCACAGCCACCTCTCCTCCCGCAATGTGAAGACGATTTCCGCAGACGAATTCTCCGAAGACGAATTAGACCCCGAAGACGAA